AATACAATACAATACAATACAAAATGGCCCATTTCAACAGCGGGGAGAAACATCTCCATTTACTGATATTAACCTTAACAGATGAAGCACCTTGATGGAACTTGGCATTTCGCTGATCCTAAATTAAATTCTTTGTCTTCATTTTATAGAAAGCTTGAATTCTAATAACCAGGGACAGTTACATAACTGCACTTCAAAGCAGAGAGCAAACCAAGCAGCTACAAAGAAACATCTTTGCCTTGGGCAATCACACTCTAGTGACTCATTCAAGTGACCTTATTTGCTCATTAGAAGCTCTAGGTGTAGGTTGCAAATGTCAGGGAGCTTTAATTTACATCTTTAAGAGACACAGCTACCTGAATGTTAATGCTAATACTCCCTAGATCTTGGGCCATATTTGCCATTATTTACTTCACTGTGCTGTCCACACGCCTTCCTATGTCATGTAAGAATTTGCATAATATACCTTTACTCTAGCTATTTGATGCTTTGTGTGGTGTGCAAAGATAGAAGGCTTGTAAGACAACTAACCATTTCACTCAGAATCTTCATATAACTTTAAAAAGGAAGTCAACATATGTTTCAGGTCTGAGTGAAAAACTGCAATGACAGTATCACATACACTGAAGGTCAAAATATTTTTTAAATAACATAACCTGGAGGCAAAGACAAAATATTTTTTTTTCTGTTTTAAATTGTGAATTCTAGTTTCAGTAGATAAAAAGAAGGTATGCTGCTTGCTGAGATGTTTCTCAATTCATTAGGATTAAGGATCACATTATTGCAAAGGACAATCACATATAACTATAGGAAATGTGCCAGTACAGACAATCCTCATGTTACAAACATGATAGGTTCTGTAGGTTTCCTCTTATGTTGAATTTTTTTTGTAAGTCAGAACAGGTGCATTTTTAAAGTGTAACTCCAGCCATATTTATATATGCATGCTTTGGATAGCATAGAAAAGGGTTAACACCCCTATGGTGGGTTTTTGTTGTTGTTGTTTTTTCCTGTCTGTGTCCCTCTTCAAAAGATTTCACCTCACTTTCCGTCAATGTGATAAATGGATTTTGAAAAAAATGGGCTTGTTGTGGGAAGAAGGATTGGTGATAAAGCTTCAATAGAGACACCTATTCCCTATAACTTTTTCAGGAGTGATTTTCCCTTCCTAGGGCCAGATTTCTCCCACTTCCTGTTGTCTGATCCCTGTTCTTAACTATGAGCCATTTGTAAGTCAGATGCTTGTAACTCAGGGACCACCTGTACTTTGTTAATTGGAATTTCCACTGTTCTCAAAGTTGCAAAAATGCAAAGTGTGTATAATAAAAGGCAAGACAGTGAAGGCAGCTCAATCTAGCCCAGTGGGTCTCAACCTGTGGTCTGCAGCCCAACAGTGGGCCATGAGAATGAAAATCCGGTCCATGAACCCAATTTCTTTTTATTTATTTATTTTATTTAATTTTGGTACTAATGTTGAAGAGTGGTCCCTGGTCCAAGTGGTCCCTGGTCAAGTAGGCCCTGGTTAAGTGGCGCCCATTTAAGTGGGCCCTGGTCAAAGTGGGCCCTGGTCAGAAAAGGTTGAGAACCACTGATCAAGCCAGAAGGAATATAGGCTAGGCAAATATCCCAGATTTCCTGATGCCAAAAAGGCTTCTTTTATTTAGAAATTGGGGCTTTAAAATAAATCATAAATTTTGCATACACAATCTGTTTTTAAAGGATCAGAGCCTGCCCATCTCTGCCATTCCTACTTGGAACAGCAATTATTCATAATAAGAAAATAGCCCTTTCCAATATCCAGCACAGGCTAAATTGTTCAAGACAGGCAACACTGTATCATTCCAGTGTGAAGAATCCTTGAAAATACTGTATTCATGTATACATGGTTCTTAACATAGTTATGGACTTCCTTTTTTGATTATACATAGTTTGTTATATATCACCAAACATAGGATTCCATAACTAGATAAAGATACATGTAATAAACGTACAAGCTGACATTCATCAGTCCATCTTGTATCTTTCTCCAAAATTTCCCAACCTTTGCACTAAGTTTGCCCAAGTGTCATGATGTAGAATTCCATTTTGTCATGTAGGATTTCAGTCATCTTGAATATATAACGTTAATTTGCTTTACCAAGTCCTACTCAAGAAATCTTTCTGAAAATGTTTTGTAATCCCAGAGCCTTCATAATGTTAATTACCACAGCTGTCTGTAACAGAATAAAACAAAAACAAAACCTGACTGATGTTCTTCGGTGGTTATGCCAACTGGGAAAATTGAAACCATGTTTCCATTTTCGATAAAAGGGAATCTATTTTGATCCAACTTCTGACATAGCAACTGTTTACGTAACAATTCCCAGCAGAGTCTATCTCAATGCATGGAGTGATTCTATTACTTCATACTACTGCTTTCTGGATTGCTTTTGTTCCCACCTAGTTGATGGGAGGCAGAGTGTATACATCAACACACTACTAAATCCAGTGGAACACTGACTGCACTACTCAGTCCCATGGTACACCTCCAGCTTCTGCTGGATTTCGCAAGCAGGAAAAAGGGGGATAGAAAACTTTTCTTCCATATTTTAATATAGAGCTCTGAGACATTGCGTATGTTAATTCTGAAGGCAGAACCAGTTTGGGTGCTAGGAAATACTTAACTCCCTGACAAGTGCTTTCTGGATCTTCTCTGAACCTGTGCATCTATTAGCATAAACTAAACATTTTCTAGTGCTAATAACATGTATATGTCAATAGTAAAAATATTTTTTAAAATAGATGTGTCATATGGTGCTGGGCAATTAACTTATATGAATGTCAGCTAAAAATGTTATGCCACTGGTGGTGCAATGGGTTAAACCCTTGTGATGGCAGGACTGAAGACTAACAGGTCGGAGGTTTAAATCTGGGGAGAGCACGGATGAGCTCCCTCTGTCAGCTCCAGCTCCCCAGGCAAGGACATGAGAGAAACCTCCCACAAGAATGGTAAAACATCAAAAACATCTGGGCAACGTCCTTGCAGACAGCCAATTCTCTCACACCAGAAGTGACTGGCAGTTTCTCAAGTCGCTCCTGACACGAAGAAAAAAAAATCCAAAAACTCAAAAGTTATTCTGGATCATTAGGAAAATAAGGACATCAGAAGAGGCATCTTTAATTCCTGCATGTATTTCACAGCAAGGACCAACTTTCTATCTTAAACTGAATTTTTCATGTCTTTACTATATAGAAGAAATGAAAAATTGTTGGTTCTTATCAGCTTATTCGTACCTATCAGTGTTCAAAACTTGCTTGCCACATCAGACTTGCATTCACCAAAAGCAGGTTACTATGCAAATATAACTTTCCCTGGGTGAGATCCATGGCCTAGAAAGAAATAACAACCATTTCCATCACTTAACTCCCTGGTAGTAACTGGTCATATTTTTTGTGTGTCAGGAGCAACTTGAGAAACTGCAAGTCACTTCTGGTGTGAGAGAATTGGTCATCTGCAAGGACGTTGTCCAGAGGACACCCGGATGGGTTGATGTTTTACCATCCGTGTGGGAGGCTTCTCTCATGTCACCACAAGGGGAGCTGGAGCTGATAGAAGGAGCTCATCCGTGCTCTCCACAGATTCGAACCTGCGACATGTCAGTCTTCAGTCCTGCCGGTTTCACCCACTGCACCACCAGGGGCTCCTAATTGGTCAATGAAAGATCATGTGTGTTTGGGAGAAACTCTCACACAGAATCACAGTTTTGCTGACTATTTTTATGATAGTGTTTACAATATTGGAGACATAACCGCATGTCAATTAAAAATATGCTAATATGAAGGACTGTGGTGATATCAGCAATACAACTCAAACTACACATTTTCACATTCAAATTGTTCAATGCATTAGTTTCTCCATTAGAAGATCTATCCCCCCCCCCCTTTTTTTTTATTAAAGAAGACATTTTATGTAAGCAATTATTTGTATTGAGCTTGCCTGGTTTATTTTGACCACATTAAATGTTAATCTGACTTCCACTGAGCCAAAATGAATGTAGAGAGCACATAAGAATCTGTAGTAAATGCATTCATTAGGTACACATTTCATGCAAACTGCAATAACATTTGTTTAGAGAAAGATTCAGTTTTGCTTTCACTAAATTTGTGTTCGGTCCATAGTGCTGATGCTGATTCAGTGCCTTGGGCCAAATTTACTGCAAAATGCTGAGACCTTCCACTTGCAATGAGAAATCAATAGGGAGATGGAAGCTATCAAAACCAGACTCTGAAATTGTACATTATTTAGCAGCGTGCTAGAATTCAAGATGAAAAGTAATTCATGCTGAATTCTATTGCTTTTGATCAGCTTCATAAAAGGTAAAAATAGGAGATTTCATGCTTTCTAAAATACAGACAATGCTAGATTATTATGGAATTCTTCCCATATAAGAATACAAAATAGGTTTTAAATTGGCATCACCATCTAATATGTCTACTCACAACCAAGACATGGAAGAGATTTCATGGAATGTTCATCAACATCTTGACTACTGTCATTGGAAGAGGCCAGCATAGTGGTTGAATACAAATGTTGAATACAAAAACAACAGCAAAACCCGACACGATAGGAAAAAAAGAGCTGTTCTGGATCAGAACAAAGACTTAGTACAATAGAGGACAACAATGAGTTAACCAAAAGCTGATGTGATGAGAGGGCTGTTGGAAAGGCAGAACAATGGCACTATATACTTTTATCTTGCAAAAATATATATAGTGCCATGGCTCTGAGCCACACTGCCATTGGTTTGCTGGCTTATCCTTATTTTCTGGATTTGCAGATGTTTGATAAGAAATAAACAGGCAGTGGTGAGTACTGAACAAATTAACAACTTCACATTTTTAGCTGTGAAAGAAGAAAGGAAAAACCTGTTGAACTTAAGTCTCACCTTATCAAATTATGATTTCTGCTAACATCTGAAACTCTCTTTAGTGGTACGAAGAAACAATAAAGAAAAGGATATTTTCCAGGATTTTCTGTACCTACTCGATAATCTGCATAACTTTTCGATGGATGGAAATTGAATATAAACAAAAGATTTGCCCTCTCAAATGCAATAACTTTGTTTGATTCATGCTTCTCACTGATGTAAGCCTGCAAAAAATAAAAAAGAGTATTAAATTATACACTTGTGAGAATACAACTGAAATTAAATAGTAGAGAAAATAGGATACTATATTTTCTACCACACTGAATTTAACCAAGACACTGGGGTGGAAAAGATTATGTGAAAAAAGTTAAAATAATCAGTACATTGTAAGTAACTACATATATGAATTGAGATCATAAAATTATGGTTTTGATTTTTAGAGAGATGGAAAAAGGAACAAAATATAATAGGAAAATGAGACAATGAATCAATTATTGTTATTTCTATCTCACCTTTTCACAGCTGGGGACTCAAAGCAGTTTACAACAAGTTAAAACACATTGTTAAACTTCACAGAATACAAAAGTTAAAACAATATTAAACAATAAAAAATAAAATCAGATTAAAAACTATATCAGTATACACATGCACACGCAGTGCAACAGTTATCAGGATCTAGTGTATTATTTAGTGAGATAGACCTTCTATAGTCACAGTGGAATCACTAGGGTTGGTGTTGGCCAGTGTTGTAACTCATGTCACCCCTACAATATTGTAGATAAAATACCAGAAAAAATGACAAAATTTGTGACTATAAAAATGCCACCAGTAATGAAACAACAATGTGTGCTTGTACCATGTTCAAATGAAACCATGTGATTCAAAGCATCATTGTAATTGGGTAATAATGAGAGCTCTGTGTATTAGAAAGTTCAAAAAGTAAATCAGCACAGAGTTTTAGTCTTGACATTTTATATCTAAGGTGAGGTTAGGGAGAAAATGTGATTATATCTAACTAGAGAGACATTTTTATAGAAATAATAGATTTCTGCTTAATCCCTGCACAATTTTGTCTCTATATAGTCGTTTTGGTGTCACCTGGTCATTTTGGTGACACGTGGTGCATTTGGCACCCTTCTCATGCCCCTAGTGGTGTCACTATACAGTCACTCATCATATGCCAATTGAAACAGAAGTCTTTACTTGTCTGAAAAAAGAAAATAGGGAGGGACCTGGTTCACATTACTTGGGGATGTGATGTACTATGAGGATGGTGGGACAAAGGGAAAGGCCTTCCCAGCAAATCTCAAAATACAAGCTGGCTTATAAGAGTGAATACAGGTTTTCACATAACTTGGTCTTGAGCTGTATAGGGCTTTATAGGTCAAACCCAACACTTTGAATTATGCCCAGAAATAGACCTGCAGCCAGTGAAACTGTCACAATGGAATTGTAAGATACCTATACTCACCCTCAGTTAGCAATTTGTCTACAGTTCTTTAGACCTGCTGACATTTTCAAGCACTTTTCAAAGGCAGCCCAGCTAAACTAATCTAACTAAGACATATCTCATCGAGGACTGATCTGCTATTTCAAGAGTGTGCAGCTGGCACACAAACTTTACCTCAACTGTGCAAATGCACTCCTGGCTACCACTGAAACCTGACCTTCTAAGCTTAGAATTGAATCCAGGGGCACAGCCAAACTGAGAACTTGCAATGTCATGGGGAGAGTAACCTCATCAAGCACAGGTTGCATCTCTATTCTCTCTTCTGCCTTTCGACTGACCAGGATCCCCTCTGTCACATCTGAATAAAGTTTCCAAATTGTTGACTTTCATCCAGTTCATTACTGATGACAGGTACCAATTTGAGACCAAAATAGTTTTCTAGGCGGAAAGGAATAACAAAGTTGGAAAAGTATGGTACAAAACTTTAAATGCTCTGATGGCTGGCTACTTACATGTGTTAGCTGTATTACTATGAAATAGGTCCTCAAATAAGCCTTTGCATGTGTTTGATTAGATGAACTCTGAGTTTTCTGCTAACACTGTTCTGGTTGTTTTCTCACTTGTTCCATTGCCACCAGCTCCCAGGAAAATCGGGGGGGGGGGGGCAGCTTGGCTCAACTCTGTGGGGGGGGGGGGGGTGTGTGCTCAGGATCATGTTGACTGTCCTGGCCATGTCTCAATTCCTGATATCAGCCTCAGCCGCAGGAGAATCGCCTGCTAAGGCAGCAGAGAACTCCCCAAGAACTACAAGGATTCCATCCAGATCCATAAGCCTCATGGGGTGGACCGTTTCAATACTTGTTCCATCCCTGCAGAGGTTCTGAGTCCCATGAAGTCTAAACCTCCCCAGATGGTGGTTGTCCAATGGAACTGTAGATAGTTCCTGTACTCCCATATCACACCCATCCCATTCACAAGAAAAAACAAACAAAAATAGCTAAGGAGAAAATTCTGCCAAAATTTGTGTCATTTTCTCAACAGATCCACCCCCTTCTCCAGTGAACAATTTTTCTAGTTGCTTAAGCCAACAGTGGGTTGATGGAGATTTAGGGCAGCACATAATTTTATTTCTGATGTGCTTCTTAAAAGCAGGATTTGTGACATACTGCTGGTGTCACTTTTGAATACTTAAATTGCTTATCAATTTCATGTCAGCTCACTCTGGGGAAAGAACCTGGAAACATGTTGGCTGGAGATTTATCCCACTCACCTAAAAAGGAAGGGAAGAAAGGAACCTTGGACGTAGTTTTTAGAAGTTGTACAAAATATTTCCAACATATTCTTGAACAATATATATTATGCCACCCAAGAAAGCATTTTGTTTTACAAAAAAATGTTTGCTAGATGAATATTGTAGAGGATGATTTTTTTCTGGGACACTACTGCATCACAGATGGCCAACTTTACATTTGAAGCATTTCGATGTATGGCTAAATCAGATTCCACAATCTTTTTAAAAAGCACTGTTCTGTTTTTTTGGAAGAAAATCAAGAATACATAGCAACATAAATCATATAAGAGGAGAGAGAATGCAAAGAAGCAGAACAATTAGCAATTCAGAAACTAAAAAGAAGCAGGAATTAAAAACAGATGCCTGCTCTCCTCAGACTGTGTTTTCTGAAAAAGTGGCACTCTTTGATGGAAATTGTGATAAGCATAAAAAATGACTGCACACTATTGGAGTCTGGTTTCAGTCAACATGAGTCTAGTTCAAACAATTTACTTATAGGTTACTGAATATTTTTGGAGTAGGACCGAGAACTGAGGCCTTCCCAAAATTTTCTGGACTGTTAATTCCACAAGGCAGGCTGATTGATTATGCTGGTTGGACCTAACATGAGTAGAAGTAACACACACACACATATACACATATAGTCTTACATCATACGTATCAGGGTGGCATACAAAGAAAACAAATTTAGCATTTCAAAATTAATAATTATTTAAATAAATTGAAGATATTCAAAACATAGTAAACAATTTACAACTTAAAATAGTTTTAAAAGGTTAAACTTAGAAGTAAGTATGTACTGGGTTGCTGTGAGTTTTCTGGGCTGTATGGTCGTGTTCCATAAGCATTCTCTCCTGGCGTTTTGCCAACATCTATGGGCAAAACGCCTCAGAGGTAGTTAGAAACCAATCAATTGGGCTCCAAAAGCCTAATATGAAGGTCATATATGTCCACTCTTGAAGAATACACAGGATTCTTTGGAATAGATTAGTTGTACTACTTATACTTTTTCTTCTGGATAAGTAACATATCCAGTCTTTATAACCTAAAAGGAATCATTCAAATTCAATTGATTAGGAAGATAAAATGCCGTAACACTATGTAGCACAATTTTTGTTCCTGGGTTATAAATGTAATTTCCTAATTAGTTCTATCATAAAAACATGGGAAAAGTTTATTAAACTACAAAAACTTGGCTTTTGCAGTCTACACAAAAGGTTAAAAATGGCATATGAAAGGTTAATAATGACACATTGAAAGGTTAAAAATGACAGCAACAAAAATCAAGTTTCTGGAGTATAACAACTACTTTCAAAGTAAGTACCACAGAATTAAACATGAAATAACATTTTCAAACCAGGAACAGATTTTTTCCAATTTTGTTACATAATGTAATAATTCCAAACCAATGTCACGCCAGACAGGAAGTGGGCAGAAGCCCTCTGTTGGGGACATACAGTTCTTACCAAGACTCTACCAACCTCTTCCATAACAAGAAAAAAGGCAATCATTTATATTCAACACTACAAAATAACCTCTTAATGATTTTTTTTCCCTATCTACAACATAGTCTCACTTTGACAAGGTCTATATTTTGATGGGAAAAGGTTAGCAATACTGCAAAATAGACTAGAATAGAGTGTTTCTGGAAGGCAAGAGGCTATGCTGATGGCAGCAGGGTCTCCAATGTTATAGTTTTTGCTGAGTAACCAGGTTGATTGTGCCAAACAGCTATTGGGCAGCAGCAATAGTGGGGAGTGACACTTGTGGAGAATATCTCAAGGATAACAGGACAATCCAGAAAACATTTGTTAACACTATGTAGAAGGAGGCATCATAAAACCCTTTTGAATGCCTTTTACAAGGAAGTCCTATGTTGAGGCAATTTCAAACAAAAAAAATAAAATAAAATGAAACTCACGGGTTGAAGGGTACCAAACAAGTTACTGGGATACAGCAGAAGGTAACCACAAGCAGTGCTTTGGCTCTTGATACAACGGGATGCAGGCCAAAGAGACATTCAGCTATTGTCATGCTCAGAAGGGAAATGCCTCAGAGGGCAAGTCTGAAACTGCACAACATGGATGAGTGAGAATGGAAGTGAAACATAGGAAACAAGAAATGCAATGTCTAAACATTGCAATACTCAAGAGTGAGCAAGCTAAAAATGTACAGGAATTGAACATTAAGATAATTATAGTTTTTTATTCAAAAAACAAAAATCTAAGAAATAGTAAGGAGAGATGTAGCAAAAGCAAAGGATTTAATGAAAAATAAACCTAATTACATCAATAAGACTTGATGGGAAACCTATCAATGTAACCACAATCCAAGCTTATACACCAAATGCAAAGGCAGAAGAAGACACTGGAATCAAGGAGGACATTGACTGTACATCAAAACAGAACTTCTTGTTGGGGTCTGTTCTATTTCTTACTTTTGCACTAAGATTGTAGAAAATTTGATCCAGGATTAAGAAAATGAGGGAGGATGTTAACTGCTTGGAGACCAACAGTTTGTTCATCAGAAACACATTTTTCATGCAACGAAAGAGGCAACTGTTAAAACTGGAAGCAGAAAATGAAGAAACTCCATGATCTCTGAGAAAACAAGACCAGAGCAGATAGTGGCACAAACTTGCTGATCTTAAAAAAAAATTAAAGAAGAGCATTAAGCTAATAACTGTGTCATATCTTGGCTCAGTCATTAATCAGATTGGAAACCGTAGTCAATTAATCAAAAGAAGACTAGAACTTAGAAGAGAAGCACGAAGGAGCAGCAATATTCTGAAGTGTAAAGCTCTACTATTGAATACTGAAGTTATTCATCCATGCCATTGTATTTCCAAATTGTATATATGATAGTGAATGCTAGACTGTGAACCTGATAGAAAGAAAATCAACTCCTTTGAAATGAGATTCTGGAGAAGGGTTGTATGGGTGGATTGCTAAAAAGAGAAATAAGTGAGCCATAGAGCAAATCAAGCCTGAACTCCTGAACTCTCTCCTAGAGGTTGAGATGACCAAACAAAGACTGTTGTGCTTTGGTCATATTATGAGAAGACATGACTCACTAGAAAAGAGAATAATACTTGGGAAGGTAGAAAGCATTAGAAAAGGAATAAAACTGCATTAAAATCAATGAAGGAGGCCCAGAGTCTCCAAGACATGGAGTAGAACTGTTAATGATAGGGTGAGTTAGAGGTCTTTTATTCATAGGGTGGTGATAGCTGAAGACTACTTAACAGCAGTTAGTAACAACAAGAAGGTAAAGGGCAATTTAGTTAGTGAGTTAGCAGAATAAAGATGTGTCATCTCATGAATGATTTTTATATAAAGCTACTGCTTCGTATGTAGTCTGTATATTAAAAAAAGAAGAAAAATATCAGGCTCCAATAAAGGAATTTACAAATGCAATTTGCATTGTACCAGAAAAGCAACCAATAGTGCTCTGGGATCTCAAACTCATTATTTTCTTATTCCACTATTTGCACAATGACTCATTCTGTAAACTTCTGTGTTCATTCTAAGTCATACTGCTGCTTCTTCAACCAGGTTACATAGGTGCAAAGCTTTCACCAAAAGCCTCCTGTGGCAGAAGTTGTGATAATTAAGGGCTGCAATTCTGTCTATTGTCAAGACAAGCGCTGACACATACTGGGAAGCTTGCATGAAAGAGTCAGTTAGGCAGCATAAAGAATGTATACTTTGTCAGTATCTCTCAGCTCTTTATGCAGTACCGTTCAGCTCTTTATGCAGTACCGTTTGACTGCTTAAACTACTTCACCTACATTAAGTCAGTAATCCTTTGAACATACCTGTACAGAATGTCAGCATTATTCAGACCTAATTTTCAGGCAGAACATATAGACTGAGAAATAGTAAGTCACTTGAGGCAAACGCATGAGTGAAGCAAAGTGAAATTAGACACATAGATTTAATAACACATATTATCTTAAGTCAATCACCCCATTTACCAACTACTACTAGCTATATGCTGCTGAGTAACAAAAATACCTGGCAAGATGGCTAACTTCTACTTATGTATTAAAATCAATTATAATATCCACTTTCATCATGGACCCTCTATAAATATCATCACTGTGCAAACCACATAAGCACTAATATAATTTTGGGTTACGCTATCTGACAAACTTCTTTAAGTTTTGAGATCTTTTGGAGATATCTTTCTCTCTCTATAGCCTTATAGGTACACCTATAAGGCTGTGGAGAAAGAAAGGTCAGTTTTTACAAACTCCCTTCCTAGAAAGGTTTGACTGACACTCTTAATATTATACTCCTATAGGCAGGCAAAGACTTTTCACAGCAAAAATCCTTTGAGGGCCAGTGGCTCAGGGGAAATAGGCTCTGCTGTTTATATTTGTTCTTCTTCTTTTTAATGGGCAATTTTATTAAATTTTAGCTTTCAGCTGTATCTGTTTTAATCTTTGAACCAGATTTGAGCCTGAGAAAAAAGATGATATAAATAGATGGATAAATGAACCTGGAGCTGCCATGGTTTTGATAGCCATTGATAGACTATATATAGTCCTTGAAGGCAGTACATCAGCCAGCATGGTGAAATGACTTGCTTTGAAAATAATAATACATAATAAATAGTTGTCTCAAAATAGTTTTATTCATTTTCTTTATTATTAAAATATGCAGTGTGTACAATTTTGTTGATTAGTGTAGAATTTATACTGTATGTACTTTACCGGGGGTGATGAAAGCCAGCCAAATCTTTCTTCCAGTTTGTTCATATCTCTGTCAAAATCATTGAGGAATCTATAGCGAAGAAGCTGGTCATCAGCTAAATGAAACTGCCTTCTAGCATAATGGTAGCTTTCATTATTCCCTTTTCGGGGAAAATCCAACCATTCTGGGTGTCCAAACTCATTGCCTATTTTTAAAAAGCAAGAAAGCAGAAGACATATCCATAAATTTGTTAGGTTTCCTCAAGAAATTATTTAAGTAGTTAGTTAACCAAAGTATTGAAACAATTTAAACATCACATTTTAATAATGTAAAATTATAATTGCTTGAACTATCTTTGATAATTCTATTGGGCGGCAAGTATCCAGATCATTACTATATTTATTACATGGGCAAGCATGTAGATTTCAATGGCCATATTACGGTTAAAGATTATGCATAGACACAAAATAATAAAATAATGATAGCAGACTTAAATATGTTAATATAATATTATAAATAATAAACAATTCATAATCAAAATGTCTTTTTATAAATCCAAACGAGATGACACGGCATACCACCTTGTAAGAAATCTCACATTGAAGTTTTCCCCAAGAATCATGAAAAGACAGACAAACATTTCAAACATTTCTAGCAAATCTAGTTTAAGTCCTCTCAAATATATCTGCTGTACAATAGCATCAAATCTAGTTCCCTATGTGAAGAATATATACAGCACCTGTATACAATTTGTGTTCTACCAAGATGGGCAATTTTTGTTTCCAGGGAAGTCCAGCTGAATCGGAAATTAATACTGTGACAGAAATGTCTTCACAGAGAAAGAAATGTATAGGGTGTATGTAGATGGTTTCTTATGTCAATATACACCTTGCTTCTACTCACAACAATACTGAAGCAAAAATTATACCATTAAAAAAAGATACAAATGATTTTAGAAGACTTGCATAAACATTATCAGAATGGAAAATGGGACATGTGCATCTATTTGAAAGGGGGAGACTTATTGTTGCTGGCATGATAAATATGGTAGTGGGGTGGAGAGTGACTTTTTAAATGAAAAAATGTCATTTTTTATCTGTCATCTCAGCATCTGCAGGCTCTTCTCGTACCTATAAAAAGGCAAAAGTTGCCCTAGTGCAGTGGTTCTCAACCTGTGGTTGCCCAGATGTTTTGGCCCTCAACTCAGAGAAATCCTAACAGCTGGCAAACTGGCTGGGATTTCTGGGAGTTGTAGGCCAAAACACAGGGGGATCCACAGGTTGAGAATTATGTACCACCGGCCTAGTGGAAGATAGAATGATAAAACAGAACTTTTGTTCTTAATCTTTCAAGAAACAAATGTTCATGTCCAACTTGTCAAATGATAATAATAATAACATTAATTTTAATATGTCATTTCCTGGTTTAACTAACTTGTCTTCAACTAGTTAGTTGGATGCCATAATCTGGGCACACTTAAAGTAAAGTTGATCGGAGCATTTTGGTTTGGGAGCAAGAAGAAAACTAGTCCTTGTTTGTTTTATTACAAGATGTTACATAATGAAAAACATTGGTGTATTATACCGATAATCAGAACAGCTCTCTACTTATATTTACCTAAGGTACTACATGATTTGCAACATTTAAAGTTGGATGCCTCTATCAAAAACATTAAGCTTGTCCCTTGGTTTTAAAAATGACAAGCACGTATTCATGGAATTATAATGTTGACTATGTGGGAAATGGTACAATTCAGAAGCCAAACGATTTTTCATTGTTCCTTGTTATTATATCCGTACAGTCTTTCAAATATTTAAACGTGAACAGCACACATATATGAAACTATCACTAATCTGAGTGAACAGTTCATCTAGAAATGCCATCAGCATGCCATCAGCCAGGGGATCCAGGAGATACTTAATTATACTACAAAGAGAACTGGATAGGTGTCAAAACTGACAAGCAACAAAGCTTTCAGGGAGCTTCACAACTTGGTGCAAAAATGGTGCAAAACAACCCTGTCAAGATATTTTTGCAAACTCCCCCAGACTAGCTGGCTCTGAAAAGAGCCATTAAAACTTGTCATTAAAAAAAAAAAAGAAAGAAAACTTTTGAGCATCCCAAGTGACAGATGTCAAGCTTCATGAATACATTAATATTCATGAACCTACAGACATTCAGAATTATGTACCAGGATAATTTATATCCGTATTCTTATGCTATTATCAATGCATACTCCCCCCCCCCACCAAACCCTCAGACCCAAAAGCAACCAACATTTTATATAGTGCAATACTTCATACTCATTTAAGATCTGACAACAAGAAGATATACATGCTTGTTGATAAATAGAGTTTACTACTGTCTAAAAAGACTATGATAGAAACAATACTTCAGAGAACAAAAAGTAAATTAATATATCATGCTTGAAATATCGGAAGTATCATGGTTTCCCAATTGGGATCATTCAATTCTCTTAAAACCTTTCAAGGAGAATCAGTTTATTAAACCAGGTGCTTGGAATTCTCAAGGAGAATATATATATATTCCTTGAGAATTCCAAGCTACTGAGGAATATTTCAGCTCTCTGAAAAAAAAAGGAATGTTTTCAGCTCATAATCTACAATTTACTGAATAATCGAGCATATGCTTTTTGTCACAATTAGTGCAATACATAATGACTTATGCACTGTGCTGTACAAGAGTGCTGAACACGTTTTGTGCAGGATCCCAATTTTGCCAACTATGTGTGGTATATTCTCTTTCACGGCCACAGGCCCATACCAATTGTTTAAAAAATCCTTCCAGAATATTTCTTTCAACAATCCTATTTTCAAAATGGTTGGATATTTCCCCCTTAATTCTACTATATTAGAAGCGGTTTCATATACTTCAGAATGAACAAAAGAACAGAACATCAGGGCCAATACACTATTTGTGCTGGACCATATCCAACTTGATATATTGTGGAAGTGAATTCCAAGGTACGCTCTGTGTGAAAATAAATTACAGTGATACTGTGAGTAAGAGTTTAATTTGTTCTGTGACCAAACTCTTAACTCAAATTGCTCTTATCTCAAATAGAATTTTAGCATCAAAATGCTATTAACCCATTTTGGCCCCCCGAGGGGCCCCCCATGGTTATTGTTATGTGTTTTAATACTTCATAAATAACAAATGATGTATAAATGCACATTCACATGGAACAACAAAATAGAAAGACCAACTTTAAAATGGTAGAAGCACAAAGCTGTGACAAGGAAGCACATTTGAGGCAACAAAATGTGTGTTGGCCAGTGTAACAGGAAGGCAAAACCTGCACATTCACATGGAACAATAAAAAAGAAAGATCACCTTTAAAATGGTAGAAGCACAAAATTGTGGCAAGGAAGCAAAAAGTGAAGAGGTAGAAGCATCATTATCTTCATACAACTCATTCCAGTCTCCCTCCCTGTCTTGCTCTCTCTCTCCCCCTCTCTCTCTTCATGAAGCCAAATAAAATCCACACAAAATCAACTAACCCAAAGTTCCTCTGAGCAAACAAGAGCAAAGCAGACTGCAGTCTCGCAAAGCAGACAAGAGCACGAGGCACAGAGGTATGAGGCTGCTCTCTTGAAGCCCTAAAACCCTGTACTCTGGGGCTAGTGCCAGAGGGGGCACTAGCCCTTAATTCAAAACACTTCTTGTATGTCAAAGCAAGACCTGGGCAAAGCAATGGCTCTTAATTCAAAATCCTTATAAGTTGGGACTCTCTTAAGTTGAGGTCCCACTATAGTTCCTTTTATATATCCTGAATCTGTTAATGTGAATAGACCCAGGCTCTAGTACTATGAAGTGTGTGTGTAGAGGTGGGAGTCTATTTGCTTTATACACATAATGTTACATAAGTAACCCAATGTACAACACATTGCAGAAGTCCAACTCCGAAGTTACCAGTGCATGCACTACAATCTTTAATAAGTAATAATAACTAAGTAAAATCTATTACGATCCATGACCAGATCAAAACGGGGGGACTCAGTCCCACACATCCACAACAAACCCAAGGGCTTATACATTTCTACAATCTTTAGGTCCTTGGATTCTAGGAAGGGGTACAGCTGGCATATCAGCCGAAGCCAGTAGCTAGCACTCCTGACTGTCACATCTACCTGGTCTGACATTTGGAGAGATGGATCCAGGATAACTCTCATGCTACAAACATGGTTTTTCCGGGGGGGGGGGGGGGGGGGGGGGGGGGGACGGGACACTGTCCAGAACTGGTTGACACATCTCCATCCTCAGGTTAGGATCCTTGATGTCAAGCACCCCTGTCTTGTCTGAATTCAGTTTCTGTTTGTTTTTCCACATCCAGCCCTTCATCTCTCCAGGCATTCATTAAGAGGAGACACACTATCCCTACTGAGGCTGATTTTGAAGGTATGGAGAAATATATTTGTGTATCTTTGAATCATGATTGATTCCCCCCCCCCTCGATGGACTGTCACCTTGTCGTGGTGAGGGGGCTTGCATGTTCCAATGAACCTGTCGGAACACAGACACCTTAAAGGGCCAGACTCAGATTTAGTTCCAAAATAGAGTTTATTAAGCAAAGAAAAAAGGACTCAGAGACACTTAACTCAGTGTCTCTGGTCAAAACATAAAAGCAACAACCAGTTCTGGTGCAAAAAGGAAACTGAAGCAATAATCCGGATTATCTGGAGAAAAGAACCGGATTAAATCAAAACTCTCTAAAAGTCATACAAAATAGCACAGCAGGCGACCAGTTAACAAACAAAGGAGCTGCAGCGAGGAAAGCGTAGTCAAGCGAAGTCCGAGGTCAAAGCAAGCCGAGTTCCAAGATAGCAAAGTTCCGAAGTCCACGAAGGCAGCGATGTAGTCAAACCGGTCCAAAGTCAGAGAAGGGGAAATCCACACTCACGAGAATCCAAGCCAAGACGAAGCGCACACGAACAGAAGTAGTAACCTGTAGATCGAGGACCCAATGCCAACACGAGACAGGCAGCGTTGAGAACCCAATGCACGAACATAAACCAACACTTTGCCTTCTGCAAAGATTCCCCATTTCAGAGCCTACTTTTATCTTACACATCATCAGAAGATGAGCTGACCTCCACCCCATCATTATATCTTACAGCTGATCTCGATTCCACACGTGAACTCCTACTCCCATACCTCCAACTTCGCCATCTTCTGTCAAGACTT